CCAAAGGGGAGGGGAGAGGGTCCCCGCCAGCCATAAGAGCACCTGCTGCTCTTGCAGAGGACTTGGGTTTGATTCCCAGCACCCACATCCAGACCATAACCATTTGTAACTCTAGGTCCAGGGATGAGAGGCGCTCTTCTGGCCTCCTTGGCACTGGGCACAAGCATGGACCATAGACATACACGCAGACAAATCATACACATACAGTTAAAATAAAACTGTTTTTAAGTTCTTCCTTGGGCAGGGAACAATGTGCAAGCTGTGTCCCTCAGATTTGTTGGTTTTGCCTGCATTTGGAGCAGGAGCTCTCCTGGCAGCTGGCATATCCCAAGCTAAAGGAGAGCCTGGCAGTAGGAGCGCAGTGGGCATGCAAATTAGGAGGGTCAACTGCCTGTGGAGAGTGGGGCAAGCCTGGCAGCACACTGTCCCCCACAGTCTCAGGGGGATCTCTTCTGGCCTCATGGATAGAACTTACAGAGACAGTGTATTCCAGAGACAGTAAAACACCCATAGATCTGAAAGCCTGAGGGGACAGTGGGGACATAAACCATCGACTCAGAGCCCCTCCCCGAGAAGATGGTCTGGGTTCCTCAGGATGTGGCTCTCATCTCGAGTCTCATGGATACTTCTGGTGGGGTGGGAGCTGAGTGAAGTCTCACAGACTCAGCAGCTGGGCTTCTGGCAGCTTGCACATGTCAGCCAGTCCTGGCTGTGGTGCATTCTAGCTCCAGGCACTGTTCTTGCAGGCTCGGGGCCATTGTCACCAGTACAGCTGCATGCTGAGGCCAGGGCAGGACACCAACAGCCCTGTGAGAATAGCTTCCCAGTCCGGCCCCTGCCCTTTGAGCACACAGCCTCTCTCCTCTTCAGTCAGACCTACTGCTGCCCAATACCGTGGCTGTGCTATGCTGACCCTGCTGTCTCTAGGGGAGTTAGTGCAGATTCCAAGGCTCTGGTCTGAAAAATAAGTCCGGGCCCTATTGGAAAGGAGGAGGTAGGAGGGTTCCCTTCATTCCTTTCCCATCCTTTCTCAACCTCCTGTCCAGCCAGAAGAGGGTGGGTGTGCCCTGGAGCACCCAGGCTCTGTCCAGCCTCCTGCAGCTACTCAGCTCAGGGAGGGTCTTGCAGGGTGGCTGATCTGTGTGCCTGACCCTCATGCTCTGGCACTGAGGAACCCCTAGCAGCATCCCACTGGGCCTGGGAGCCAGCGATCCCCAGAGACCCTGTACAAACATGACCTGGAACTTTGTTGGCAGAATAGACAGTCCCCTTCTCCGGGTCCAGGGAACACCCTAGAGTAGCCAGGCACCCCCTAGCCAGGTAACCACAGTCAGCTGTGCAGATGCCCAGTGCTCAGCATGTGGGGCTGTGAGGTGACAGTGTTAAAGTCATTGTACGAGCCACTGCACAGATTCCAGTTTGCTGTCCTAGGCTCCTGGGTGACTCTCACCCACCTTATGTCCAGCTGTCCTCAGTTTCTGATAGCTTTTCCCTGTCCATGTTTCTTCATCTTCCATTTCCTCCAAATGTGAAGCAAACTCTCCTGTTGGCTACCTGTAGCCATGTGCCCTTGGGTGGTGTGCCACCATGTGACCTGGGAATTATACCTGTAGTGTTCCTGTCACATTGGTCCCATGGGGACAGTTAGAAGGGCAGCCTGGTGGCTGGGCATGATAGAATCCTGTAGCCATCAGTCAGAGCAAGTAGCTCAACACTGACAGCCTCGGAGCCCCTCCCTGTGTGTCACTGTTCCCACCCTGGCTTTCCTGGGGTCAGCTGAGTTTGAAATCTCCCCTGACTGTCCCAGGAATCACTCACTTCCACTTGAGGATGAATGGGTGGTGTGATTGATGGGCCTTACTGAGACAGAAAAGTTAAACCAGGCCATGCTGAGCATGCCATTTACAAGTGCAGGAAACCAGAGCCTCAGACTCCTCAGGTATCTTTACAGTGAGTGACCAAACTGGGGAATTGCTCCTTCATGAGTCATCTATGTGCCCCTTGCTGAGGAGGAAGCCAAATGCAAAAGGCTCCATTCTGTGTGTCACAGGTCCATGGCATGGGAAAGACTCCTTCAGGGACAAAATAACAAATTGGTGGTTGTGTGGATCTGTCTGAGCGTGGAATGAAGTGATCTACTACAGGAGGTATGAATGACTTTGAGGTAATT